GCATGTAGATGCAGCAGCAGCTGCTGCTGCGAGAGCAGCAGCTGCTGCAGCAACTGCAGCAGCAATGCTGCTGCTGCAGTTGCTGCTGCTGCCTATCCTTTTATTGGTGTGGGGTTTGAAGGTGCAGTCAGCAGATGCTGCGGCAGTCAGTTATATTTGCTGCTACTGCTGCACCTGCTGCTGCTGTACCTGCTGCTGCTACACCTGCAGCAGCAGCAGCAGCAGCAGCTTGTGTTATGGTAGTCCTATTCGTATAATATACGCAGCGAATTGCCTTAATAAGTAATAATAATAAGGCAATTTATTATTTGTATATTATTGAGGTGTACGTACACCCCATAATACAGAAGAAAGGTATAAGGGAAGCAGATTGCTGCTTCCCTAAGCAGCAACAACAGTCACGCTGCTGCTGCTGCTGCTGCTGCTAGTTCACGGCAGCAAGCAGCAACAGCTGCAGCAGCAGCTGCTGCAGCAACGATGCTGAAGCAGCTGGTTCATATGGGTGAATATTGCTGGATTTGGGTGTACATACACCTCGCTGCTGCAGCAGCAGCAGCAGCAGCAAAAGAAAGCTTTAGGAAGAATTATTTCTTCTTTTGTATTCTTAATAAATAAATATAATAATTTTATTTATTATTTATTTATTTATTTATTTATTTATATTTATTTAATAATTATAATAGTTATAGTTTATATTAGTTAATTATTAATTATATTTACTTAATTATAATTATTAATTATAATAAATAAATAGTTATTAATTAATTAATTAATTAAATAATTAATTAATTAATTAATTAATATTTATTTTTGTTTTTTTTATATAAGAGACAGCAGACAGGCAGCAGCAGCAAATACAACTAGTGCTGCTGCTGCTGTTGCTGCTGCTGCTTCTGTGGCTGTTGCAGCAGCAGCAGCAAAAGCATTACCTGCTGCTGCTGCTGCTGCAGTTGCCTTATCTGCACTATCGGCTAGCTCGTAGGTGTATCTAAGCCCTAAACCCTAAATTAGGGTTTAGGGTTTAGGGTTTAGGGTTTAGATGTCACTAAATAAATCATCATTCCTTGGTGAGTCTGCTGTAAAGAGAGAGGGAGAAGAAAACAGCAATTCTTCGGGTGTATCTGCAGCGTCGTGTGCTGCTGCAGTTGCTGCTGCTGTTGTTGTTGTTCCTGCTGCTGCTGCTGCAGTTGTTGCGGCAGTTGCTGCTGTTGCTGTTGCTGCTACTGCTGCTGTAGAAGCGAATAGATATTCTGTTGCTGAGCTGCTGCTGCTCATACCCAGCGCGCTGGGTAACAACGGATCCTGCTGCTGCTGCGGCCTGCTGCTGCTGCTGCTGCTGCTACTGTCTCCTCCTTTAGCTGGCAGCAGGCTTGCAGGTCTTGCTGCTGCAGCACGGTGCAGCACAACTAGATGAGGCTGCATAGCTGCCTGTGCTTGCTGCAGCGGCAGCTGCTGCAGCGCTTGCTGCTGCAGCAGTAGCTGAGCTGATGGCAGCTGCTGTTGCTGCTGCTGTTGCTGCTGGGGATGCTGCAAAAGCTGCTGCTGTGGCTGCTGCAGGACCTGCTGTGGCTGCTGCAGGACCTGCTGTGGCTGCTGCAGGACCTGCTGTGGCTGCTGCTGTGGCTGCTGCTGTGGCTGCTGCAATACCTGCTGCAGCTGCTGTTGCAGCTGCTGTGGCTGCAGCTGTTGTTGTCGCTGCTGCTGCTGTAGCTGCTGCTGCTGTAGCTGCTGCTGCTGTAGCTGCTGCTGCTGTAGCTGCTGCTGCTGCAGCGGACGTAGAGGTTCTTGCTTCAGTAGCAGAGACGCCTGAGCAGTGAGTGCCTCTTTATGAGCCTGTAGCTGCTGCTGCTGCAGCTGCAGCAGCAGCAGCTGCTGCTGCTGCAGATCCCGTTGCACATCACTCTGCTGTCGCGAGAGTGTTTGCTGCTGCTGCAGCTGCTGCTGTTGCTGCTGCTGCCGCAGCAGGTTTGCATGCAGCAGCGGTATAGGCAACGCAAACGAAGGAGCAGGCAAGACCCTTTGCTGCAGCTGCAGCCCGTTATGCTGCTGCTGCTGCTGCTGCTGCTGCAACTGTTGTTGCTGCTGCTGCAACTGTTGCTGCTGTTGCTGCAACTGTTGTTGTTGCTGCTGCAACCGTTGCTGAGGAGTGGGCTGGACAGGAACGCACTGCAGCTGCAGCTGCTGCTGCTGTTGCTGCTGCTGCTGCGGCGGCGGCAGCAGCAAGCTGCTGAGAGTCCTTGGCTCTCGCCTGTCAAGAATCACCTGCAGCGTGCGCTGCTGCAGCTGCAGTTGCTGCAGCTGCTGCTGCAAATCCTGCAGCTGATTTGCTGCTGATACAGCAGCACCTGTCTGCTGCTGCAATAATCCCTCGTTCGATCTTTGCTGCTGCTGCTGCTGCTGCTGCTGCACCTGGGGCGCCAGCAGTGGCAGCTGCGGCGGCGGCAGCACCACAGGCGCTTGCTGTAGCACTGTTGCCTGTTGCTGCTGCTGCTGTTGATGCTGCTGCTGCAGTGGTGTCTGCTGTAGGCGTTGCACTGAAGGACGAACTGCAAAGCCGATTAGCTGCGGCTCAAGTTGCTGCTGCGCAGGTTGCTGTTGCTGTTGCTGCTGCTGCTGCTGCTGCTGCGCTGTGGTTGCTGCCTGTATATCGGTAGAAATAGCCGTTTGCTGTTGTTGCAGTTGCTGTATTTGTTGCTGCTGCTGCAGTGGCGAGGGTCTGGTCTCCTGCAGCACTTCCTGCTGCTGCTGCTGCTGCTGCGGTCGCAAGTGGGTCAAGTCCGAGCTACGGAACAACTGCTGCTGCTGCTGCTGCTGCGACTGCGGCGGCGGAGGTGGCGGCGGCGGCGGTGGCTTGAGAAGATAAGCATAAGCAGCAGCAGGTTCGTCACTCACAGCTAAATAGCGCAGCAGCAGCCGCTGCATGCCCGGGCTCAACTCCGGTATCCCCATGATGCTGCTGCTGCTGCCGCTGCTGCTGCTGCTACTGCTGCTGCTGCCACTGTATTGGAGATGGCGGTCCTGGTGTGCATGCACAAGCGCCATAGTGAATGAGCACACTAACGCTGGCAGCTGCAGCAGCAGCAGCAGCAGCAGCTGCTGCTGCTGCTGCTGCTGCTAGTCAACCAGCTTTGCACTGGGAGCGTGCTGCTGTTTTCTTTACAGTTATGTCTATGTCATTTTTCCTTTGCGTTTATTATTTATTTGCTGCTGCTGCATGATGATTCTGCTGCAGCAGCAGCAGCAATATGCATGCGCAGCTTGTCGGCAGCAGCCCCCAGAACAGCTGCTGCAGCTACAGCAGCAGCAGCAACAACAACAGCAGCAGCAGTTAAGGCCTAGCTGCACATTAGAAAGAAATTATTATTTTTATTATTAATTAATTTGAATTATTATATATAGAAGGAGAGTTAACATAACAATCTGCTGCTGCTGCTTATTTTCTCTTGTCTTGCTGCTGCTGCTGCTACTGTTGTTGCTGTTGCTGCTGCTACTACTACTACCACTGCAGTGACACCGGACAACTCCTCAGCAGCAACTAGTGCTGCAGCAGCGCATGCAATACCTGCTGCTAGCAGCAGAGCCATGGAAGGCTCAATGCATTCTCCCCATATCCCGCAGACCACAGCGGCAGCAGCAGCAGATCAACCAGCAGGAGAAGCAGCAGCAGCAGCAGCAACAGCAGGAACAACAGCATCACCATCACCCTACGGTGTCGTTGTGGATTCAGATCCAAGCCCAGTTCTAGTGTCTCCATCTTCTGCATGCCCAACAGCAGCAGCAGCAGCAGCAGCAGGAGCAGCAGGAGAAGAAGAAGGATCTGGGGATTGGGAGGAGGATTTGCTACTTGCATGCAGCAGCAGCAACAGCAGCAACAGCAGCAGCAGCAGCAGCAGCAGGAGCAAGAGGGAGTCTCCTCGTGTTGCCCTCTGTTTATGCTCTCATGTCCGTTTATTACAATTTGTTTTTATTGACAAAACAAAAGAAATACATTTTAATTTGTGGGGAGAAAAACTTCATCTTCTTTGGTTACAAGGATTTATTACACAGTTAGTCTTCCTGCTGCTGCTGTTATTGCTGCTGTTGCTGCTGCTGCTACTGCTGCTGTTGAAAGGGGATCGAGGGGGAATTTGTGTCTGTCTGTGGGGTCGTACAACTCCACAGGACTGTGTCCGAATGTGGGATCGTGTCTGGGATCGTGTCTGGGATCGTCTATAGGATCGTGTATGGGATCGTGCCTGGGATCGTGTATGGCATTGTGTGTATGGGATCTTATGGGATTGTGTGTGGGATCGAGTCTGGGATCGTGTGGGATCGTATGCGGGATCGTGTGGGATCGTATGCGGGATCGTGTGGGATCGTATGCGGGATCGTGTATTGATTAGGGTAGACGAAGAAGCAAATTTGTTAACATTTGATGACGGGACACAAACCTTAGAAATTGCCTTCGATTTTGGCCACCGTCTCCACCAGCACCCACAGCAGCAGCAGCAGCAGCAGCAGCAGCAGCAGGAGAAGCAGCAGGAGAAGCAGCAGGAGAGGAAGTGCCGGTGTGCTGCTGCATGCATATGCGGGGAGTGGGGCTACTGCTGCAGCAGACATGCTGCACTATTCGAGTGTCTGTACACCTCAGCCCTTTGCTCTATTTTTGTTAAACCTATTCCTGTTATACTGCAGCAGGAAGCATTAGCTGAATTACGCGTAAACCCTAAACCCTAAACCCTAAACCCTAATGCAACTCAATAATACCCTATTTAATAAATATATATTTATGTCTTATGCACATATAGGTCTTACTAAACCCTAGCCTACGTACAAACCCTAAACCCTAAACCCTAAACCCTCATAATTAAGATGCTGCAGTTTATAGTGTCCTTCTTTATTCTTCGAAGGGTTTAGGGTTTAGGGTTTAGGGTTTGGGGTGTATGCGCAGCTCGTGAGACTTTCTCTCGCTCCTTCTTCAAACCCTAACGCGGAGACCGAGTGGCTGCTGCACGTTAGTCAATAAACACTCGAAACCCTAAACCCTAAACCCTAATTGCCATAAACCCTAACCCCCTCAGTAGCAGATATTAATAAATATATTTCTTCTTCTTTTCTCCTTCGGGTGTATCTGCAGGTTGGTCATTTCTACGTCAGTAGGCAGCAGCCGGTGCATGCAATTAGCAGCAGCAGCCCCACACAGCAGCAGGAGCAGGTGCAGCATCAACTGCAGCAGGAGGAGCTATACGAGCAGCAGGAGCACGAGCAGGAGGAGACCCCTTCAGCAGCAGCAGCAGCTGCTGCAGCAGCAGCAGCAGCAGGAAGCAGCAGCAACAATTAAACAAACAAGAGGTAGTAGTAAGGGTAATAAGGAAAAGGAGACAATAAACATAAAAAGGAGACAAAAAAAAAACAGACAAATGAAGAAAAATAAGAGAATATATTTATAATATATATAGTATATTTATTATAAATATATATTTGTCTCCTTTTGTCTCCTTTTGTCTCCTTTTGTCTCCTTTTGTCTCCAATGCAACAAATAAATAAACAATTAATTTATTTAATTAATTTATTTAATTTATTTATATTTATTATATATTTAGGGACACAAGACACACAAATTTATATTTAATTAATATTATATTTATTAATAATAAAGGAGATAAAAGGAGACAAAAGGAGACAGTTGCACAAACAATAGCAGCAGCAGCAGCAGCAGCAGAAAACAAACAGAAAAAGAGACAAAGACAGCAGCAACAACAGCAACAGCAGGCTCTGCCTTGGCGTCTATCTGCTGCAGCAGCAGGAGACAACAACGCATGCAAGTAGAGGGAATAAATAAATAAATAAATAAATAAATAAATAAATAAATAAATAAATAAATAAATAAACTAATTAATTAATTAAATAGATGGTAGGGAAGAAAAAAAGGAAGTTGGAGTTTCGGTGTTACAGCTAGGGTGTCTGTGCATACACCCTAAGCAGCAGCAGCAGCAGCAGCAGCAGCAGCATTTTGGCTGCATGCATAGTTGCTGCAAATCCCTACTATAGAGAGGAACCCTCTGGTGCTGCTGCTGCTGGTGCTGCTGTTGTTGCTGCTGGTCCGTCAGTTGCCATCCCTGATGAAGTAGCAGGAGCAACAGCTCCAGGTGCTGCTGTTGCTGCTGCTGCTGTAGTTGCTGCTGTTGCTGCAGGTGCAGTTGCAGTTGCAGCTGGTGTTGCTGTTGCAGTTGCTGCAGGTGCAGCTGGTGTCTGTCCGGTTGCTGGTGTTGCTGCTGGTGCAGTTGTTGGTGTTGCATCGGTTGGTGCTACAGCTGCAGCACCTGTTGCTGTTGTAGCACCTGCAGCAGCAGGAGTAGCTGCTGCTGTAGCAGCAGCTGTTGCATCATCAGCAGCAGTATTAGCTGCTGCTGCTCCTGCAGCAGCAGCAGTATTAGCAGCTTGATCTGCTGTTGTTGTTGCTGCTGTTCCTCCTTCCACCTGTTCCGCCTTAAGAACAGGAGCAGCAGCAGTACCATCTTGTGCTCCTCCTCCTCCTTGCTGCTGCTGCTGCTGCTGCTGCTGCTGCTGCTGCTGCTGCTTCCTATACAGCTCATTTTGTTGCGCAACTTGTTGCAGATGTGCATATATTTTATTAAATACAGTAACATGTTCATTAAAACGCATTACTACCACCTACAAAAAAAAAAAGAAAAAAAAAAAGAAATAAATAAATAAATAAATAAATAAATAAATAAATAGAGTTGCTGCCTATACACCCCAACAAATAACAAACAGCAACAACATATAATGCATTATATATATATATATATATATATATATATATAATTTCCTCTTCTTCCTCCTCTTCCTCCAATAAGAAAAAGAAAAAGAAAGAGAAAAAGAAAAGGAATATATAACAACCCCACCACCATAAAACAACAACAACCATGACCATCATCATCATAATCATCATCATCATCAGCAGCAGCAGCAACAACAACAACAACAACAACAACCCCACCAACCCCAGGAGGATGACGAGCAGCATAGTACCTGATTAAGAAAGAATCGATGTAGATTCTTGCCAATAGTATGTACCCATGTACCTGGTGGATTATATAGGGAACAATTATCAAAGATTAATTGTATATCTGCTAAGAATGCATGAGGATGTATATAGATATGTTTTTTTAGCTTATTTCTTACACAAGATATAGACATAGGATTCATAACTACATCATAGTATCCAGGTGCTATCTTATTATCTACAGGACGCTCAAATATATGTCCTCCTTCGTACTTACTTAATGTATTTAATAATATTTGTGCACATATTTCCCATCTAGACATTATATATTCATTACGTTTTATGCATGCGCATGCACGTAAATCATTATTATTATATATATTATATTTATTATTATTTATTCTCTTTAATTCAATTGGTGATGATAACCCTTGTGTTGTTGCTCCTCCTCCTGTTGCTGCTGCTGCTGCTGCTGCTGCTGCTGATGCTTCTTGTGCTGGTGGCCATACAGCTAAGGAAGGAAATAAACGCTGAAATTCCTCAATCTTCTCATAAGGACAATCTATCCATACACCTGGTAAATCATTAGGTAATGGTTGGTACTGTAATCTATATTTCTTACGTTGTTGTTGTTGTTGTTGTTGTTGTTGCTGTTGTTGTTGTTGTTGTATATTCTTATCATCTATAATATTATTATTTATATTTATGCTGCTGCTGCTGCTGCTGCTGCTGTTGCTGCTGCTGTTGCTGCTACTACTTGAATCATATTGATTTGTATATAACTGTTGATGATCAAGTTGTTGCTGCTGTTGTGTTGGATCTATAGGTAATGAACCTATACTACTACTACTGCTGCTGCTGCTGCTGCTGCCTATAGGTAAACAACTACTACTACTAGTACCTGCAGCAGCAGCAGCAGCAGGAGAATCTGTTGTTGCTGCTGTTCCTCCTGGATGTTGCAACATCATCATATGTTGTTGTTGTTGTTGTATATCATACCCTCCTGTATCTGTCATCATAGGATGACCAGCAGCAGCAGGAGCAGCAGCAGCAGGAGCAGCAGCAGCAGGAGGAGGAGGAGGAGGAAGAGGAGGATGAGGATGATTATGTCTTGCTGCTGCAGCATTTTTTAATAAATAACAGATCTGCATATGATTATTATTTTTAGCAAAATTATATGCACTTCTTCTTAGACAATCCTTATGTGTTGGGTCTGCGCCTGCATGCAATAATATTTTTACTGTCTCTATCCTATTATCTCTGCATGCATAAAATAAACATGTTTGTTTATTTATATCTATTATATTTGGATCTCCTCCTTGCTGCAGCAGCAACAATAAACAATTACTCCTCCCTTCTCTTGCTGCATAAAAGAGACATGTCTGTCCTACACTGTCTCTATGATTTGGATCTAATCCACGACTTATTAAATACCTGTATGTATATATACACAAAAGGAGACACATATAATAAGGAGACATATATATATAATAAGGAGACACATATAATAAGGAGACACATATAATAAGGAGACATATATAATAAGGAGACACATATATATATAATAAGGAGACACATATATATACCTATATATACACACAAAAGGAGACATATATATATAATAAGGAGACAGACACATATAATAATAAGGAGACAGACACATATAATAAGGAGACACATATAATAAGGAGACACATATAATAATGAGGAGACAGACACATATAATAAGGAGACACATATAATAAGGAGACACATATATAAGGAGACACATATAATAAGGAGACACAGATAATAAGAGGAGACACATATAATAATAAGAAGAAGAAGAAGGAGGAGGAGGAGGAGAAGAAGAAGGAGGAGGAGATACATATATAAGGCAGGAAGAAGACGGAGAGGGAGAGGAAGAAAAAGAGAAAGAAAATGAGCAGGGAGACACATATATAAGGAAGAGGAAGAAAAAGAAAAAGAGGAAGAAAAAGAGCAGGGAGACACATATATATAAGGAAGAGGAAGAGGAAGAGGAAGAGGAGGGAGACACATATATATAAGGAAGAGGAAGAGGAAGAGATATATATAAGGGAGGAAGAGGAAGAGACATATATAAGGGAAGAGACATATAAGGGAGGAGGAGATATATACAAGAGGAGGAGACACATAAGGGAGGAGGAGGAGACATATATAAGGGAGGAGAGGAGACACATAAAAAAGGAGGAGACGCATAAGGGAGGAGAGGAGACACATAAGGGAGGAGGAGGAGACACATAAGGGAGGAGGAGGAGACACATAAAAAAGAAGGAGACACATAAGGGAGGAGAGGAGACATATATAAAGGAGGAGGAGATACATAAAGGAGATACATAAAGGAGGAGGAGACATATATATACAGGAGGAGACATATATACAGGAGGAGACTTATATACAGGAGGAGGAGACACATAAGGGAGGAGACATATATACAGGAGGAGGAGACATATAAGGGAGGAGACATATACAGGAAGAGGAGACATATAAAGGAGGAGGAGACACATAAGGGAGGAGACATATACAGGAGGAGGAGACACATATAAAGAAGGAGATACACAAAGGAGAGGGAGACACATAAAGGAGGAGGAGACATATATACAGGAGGAGACACAAAGGAGGAAGGAGACATATAAAGGAGGAGGAGACATATACAGGAGGAGGAGACACATATAAAGGAGAAGGAGATACATAAAGGAGAGGGAGACACATAGAGGAGACACATAAGAGACATAAAGGAGAAGGAGACACAACAAGGAGACACAACAAGGAGACACAACAAGGAGACACAACATGAGAGAGACATGGAGACACAACAAGGAGACACAACAAGGAGACACCACAGGAGAGAGACAAGGAGACACAACAGGGGAGCGACAAGGAGACACAACAGGAGAGAGACAAGAAGAGACAAAAGGAGAGAGACAAGGAGACACAACAGGAGAGAGACAAGAAGAGACAAAAGGAGAGAGACAAGGAGACACAAAAGGAGAGAGACAAGGAGACACAACAAGGAGAGAGACAAGGAGACACAACCAGGAGACACCACAGGAGAGAGACAAGGAGACACAACAGGAGAGCGACAAGGAGACACAAAAGGAGAGAGACAAGGAGACACAACAAGGAGACACATCAAGGAGACGCAAAAGGAGACACAACAAGGAGACACAACAGGAGAGAGAAAAGGAGACACAACAGAGACACAACAGAGACACAACAGGGAGAAACAAAAGGAGACAGAACAGAGACACAACAGGGAGAAACAAAAGGAGACAGACAGAACAAGGAGAGACAACAAGGAGACACAAGAAAAGCCAGCCAAGGAGAGACACAACAGCAGAGAGAGACACACAACAGAGACAGAACAGGGAGACACAACAAAAGAGAGCCAAGGAGAGACAAAAGGAGAGACAAAAGGAGACAGAAAAGTATACAAAAGAAGGAGATACACAAGAAGGAGACAACAGAGACATAAGAAGTATAGAGAATAAGAAAGAGACAAAAAAAAGAGAGAAAAGAGCAGAAAGAGAGGAGGAGGATAAGAGGAGCAAAAGGAGTAGAAAAAAGAGCAAGAAGAGTAATAAATACCTGCATAATTCAGCATGTCCTTCTCTTGCTGCATAGAATAGACAAGTTTGTTGCATTTTATCTTGTATAAGAGGATTAACAAGAGAGAATTGTTCAATAATAATTTGTGTAAATAATAATGCCTCCTTATCCTCCTTTCTTTGTGCTACCTCGAATAATATTGTTGAATTACCTGGACCATTAGATAGATATTTACTTGTTTGTTTATATAATAATTGTTGTAATTGTTTATTATGTATATATGGATCTATACTAGGAGGACATGGATATTTTTTCCTTAATTCTTGTAAATCTATTGATAATCTATTCAATAAATAATCACGTAAATATATTATTGGCTTTGTTCTTACTAATGAATAAAATGTCTTATATGGATTACTTATACAGGAGGAAGAGGAAGAAGAGGAAGAGGAGGAAGAGGGAGAGGGAGAAGGGGAGGGAGAGGGAGGAGAGGGAGAAGGGGGAGAAGAGGGAGGAGAAGGGAGGAAGGAAGGTATTGATGATGATTCTTGCTGTTCTTGTTCTTGTTGTTGTTGTTGTTGTTGAGGAAGAGGAGGAAGAGGAGGAAGAGGAAGAGGAGGAAGAGGAGAAGAGGGAGACGGATTTCCTACTGTTGTTGTTGTTGTTGTTGGTGCTGTTGTTGTTGGTGCTGTTGCTGTTGCTGCTGTTGTTGCTGTTGCTGCTGTTGCTGTTGTTGCTGTTGTTGTTGTTGCTGTTGTTGTTGTTGCAGGAGAGGAAGAAGAAGGAGAGGGAGAGGAAGAGGAAGAAGAAGAAGAAGAAGAAGAAGAGGAGGGAGGAGGAAGAAGAGGAGGAGGAGTAGACATCTTGATGCTGTTTATGCTGTTTTTGCTGCTGTTGCTGTTGCTGCAGTTGCAGCAACAGCAACAGCAGCAAAATATGATGCAGATATATATATATATGTATGTATGTATATATATTTATTTATATATATATGTATATTTATTTATATGTATATATTTATATATATATATTCTTGTTTTATTATATAATATATATATATAGGGAGGAAGAAAAAGGATAAAAATATACAAAATATAAATAATAATAATACAATATATAAGAAGTATTTGTTGTTGCTGTTGAGTAGTAGTAGTAGTAGCTGTGATGCAACAACTGCAGCAACAGCAACAACAGCAACAACAGCAACAACAGCAACAACAGCAACAACAACAGCAACAACAAATGCAGGAAAAGTATCCTCTCTTTGTTGTTGTCGTATAAATAAAGAATTAAAAAAGAAATTAATTAATAAAATAAACAACAAAATAAAAAAAAGAAAAAAGCAAAAAAAATGACACGAATAATGCATGCGACAACAGTAGCCACAAAAGCAGCAACAGCAGCAGCAGCAGCAGCAGCAGCAGCAAGAAGAATAAGAATATAAGAAGAGGAGAGGGGCTGCAGCTTATTTATTGCTTCTGTTGTTAATTCTTTTTTATAATAAATATATAATTAATTATTATTTTATTATTATTTATTTATTTATTTTATTTATTTATTCAATAGATATGCAGAAATAACAGCAACAAATATATATATTCATCTTATGCTGCTCCCTATACCTAGGGTGTACGTGTACACCGCAATCAGCAACACACTCCCTGCTGCTGCTGCTGCTGCTGCTGCTGCTGCTGCCGTCTTGTTGTGACAGCAGCTGCTGCACCAGCAGCAGCTCCTGCTGCAGGTAAAGGAGGGTATAAATAAATAAATAATAATTAATTAATTAATTAAAAAAAAAGAATAAAAATTCTGTATTTATTGTGCATACATATACACCATAGTATGAGCGACAGCTCCGTAACGAAATATGTTGCATGCAGGCAACAACTGCAGCAGCAGCAGCAGCAAATGTAATTATATTTATTAATAACTTTTATTTACTTGCAATAAAAAGAACTTTTATATGCATGCATGCATGCATTTGGGGCCCTCTTACTAGTACATATAATAATAATAAGGTATTTCTTCCTTATACGCAACAAAGAGGATATTTATTTACTAATATAAGATTAATATTATTATTTATTTATAAATAAATAATTAATAATATTATTTACCAATAAAAGCTTAATAAGGTAATAACATTATACATTATTAATGTATAGTAAGTCATGCATGCACTACTTGCATGTATGCATGCAAGAATTCATGCATGCATGCACTATTTTGCATGCATGCACTATTTTGCATGTATGCATGCATAGATGCATGCATGCAAGTAGTGCATGCATGATACACACCTAAAAAATGTAAGGGGAGGGCCCCAGAGGAGTGCATGCATGGAGATCTGCTTCTTCTGCTGCTGCTGCTGCTGCTGCTGCTAATGTTGCTGCAGCAGCAGCAGCAGCAGCAGCAGCAGCAGCCAGCTCCCGTGGCTCAGTTGGTTAGAGCGTTGGTCTTATGAACCGAAGGTCATGGGTTCGATCCCCATCGGGAGCATTTACTAAACCCTAAACCCTAAACCCTAATCTGTTAGGGTTTAGGGTTTAGGGTTTAATGGTATATATAGAAAGATATTTGTTTGTATATATTAACTAAATAAATAAATATTTATTCTTCCCTTTTATATCTTTCCTGTCTCCTTTATTATAACTGTCTCCTTTTCTTTATTTCTTCCTCTATTTTATGACCTACTAATTACCTCCTATAGTGTCTCCTTGTATATATATTATAGTGTCTCCTTTATATATTTAATTAATTAATTAATTAATTAATTAATTTTATTTATTTAATTAACTAAATAATTAATTAATAATATTTATTATTTCCCTTGTATTGTTCCCTTCCTCCTCACCGCATGCAGCAACGCATGCATGCAACTTCTGTTCAAAAGCCCCAAAATAATCAGCATAACAGCACCTTTTGCTGCTGCTGCTACTGCAGCAGCAGCAGCAGGTGCAACAGCAGCAGCACCAGCTCCTGCTGCTGCTGCTGCTATTTGCTGCAGAGGCACGTAGGAAGCAGCAATGCATGCTGCTATACCTGCTGCTGCTAATCATTAACACATTTATATAATAAACACCAATTATATATACATATTTATTTATATTTATTTATATTTATTTATATTTATTTATATATATTTATATATATTTATATAAATATATATTTATATATATTATATATTTATATATACAATATAATATATTTATATATATAAATATATATTTATATATTTATATAAATATATATCCTTTGCATGCAACATTGCTGCCCTCTTTTTTCCATCTCTGCTGCAGCAACTGCAGCAGCAGAAACAGCAGCAGCAGCAGCAGCTGCTGCTGCTGCTGCAGCAAAATTGAGCAGTGGGTACAAGTTGCTGCTTGTATGCTGCATTTGCTGCCTACGTACACATTGGGGTGTATAGGCAGCTCCCTGGTGTATATGCATTAGAAAGTGTCTCCTTTTGCACATTATATATATAACAGTAGCAGCAGCAGGAGCAGCAGCAGCAGCAACTGTCTCCTTCCTATTTGCTGCTGTATACATATAATATATAAATATATAATATATATAAATATAAATATATATATGTATATATAGATATATATATATAAATAAATATATTTATATATATTTATATATATATATAAATATATATATTTATAATTAAGGAGACACAGCATCATCATTAGCAGCAGCAGCAGCAGCAGCAGCAGCAAGTAATTGTATATTATGTATATCTTGTATAATATTTTTTTTTAGGTAAATAATTATCCCCTTATTTGTCATCTTTTTCTCCCTTTTTATTCTTTTATTATATAAATATATATCTGCTGCTTCTTTTGCTGCAGCAGCAGCAACAGCAGCAGATAGTTGCTGCTGCGCTAATATATATAATCTTGCTGCTTCCTCCATCCTTATACGTAAATCCTCTAGGCAACGATGCAGGCTGCGCTGCAGTTTTGCTGCTGCTGCATGCGCTGTTGCTGCTGCTTCCTGTAAATCTGATACTTCTGCTGGTGTTGCTCCTGCTGCTCCTGCTGCAGCAGCAACAGCAACAGATGGTGCTGCTGCTCCTGCTGCTGCTCCTGCTGCTGCTGCTGTTGATGATGATGTGTCTGATTTAGAGGAAGATTCGTCGCTGTCTTGAGCAGCAGTTCCTGCTGCTGCTGCTGTTGCTGTCTGTTGGCTGCTGCTGCTCCCGTCCTGCTCCCCTTTCTCCTCCTCCTCCTGCTGCTGCTGCTGTTGTTGCTGCTGCCCTGTTGCTTGTTCCTGCTTCTGCTGGCCTTCCTGCTGCTGTTGCTGCTGTTGCTGCTGTTGCTGCTGTTGCTGCTGTTGCTGCTGTCTCTGCATCATCTGTATGGATTGTTGGTGTGTCTCCTCATCTATAAGCCAGAGTGCAGCAGCAGCAGCAGCAGCAGAAGCAGCATCAGCAGCAG